GGAGGTAGGAGAGGAGAGAGACTTTCTCATCTGAATCCCCACAATCAGCTTAACCCCCAGTTGCAAAGTGCTAGGGACTCAAACATGAGTCTAATTTCCAAAACAATCTCTCCTCCAAATGGGGTAGAATAGTGTATTTAATGGCAAATAAGGTCATTAAAAACAAAACAACTAATACCGCTGGGTAATGAAAGAAAGGACCTTTTAATATCTCATTCAAACTTTTTTTCTTTTTCAAAGTAAAAGCAAGCTCTTTCAATTGTATAAGTTTATCTTGAAATGTTCTGATTCATTTTTCTCATTTGGGGAGGACTGGAAAAAAACTTCACAAACAGAAATTATGTCTGACTGCCCTGATCCTCCGTTTTCCCATCTGTTTTGTTTTGTTTTGTTTGTTTTGTTTTAATAGAAACAAAGTCTCATTATGTTGCCAAGGCTGGTCTTGTACCCCTGGCCTCAAGCAACCCTCTTGCCTCAGTCTCCCAAAGTGCTGGGATTACAGGTGTGAGCTACTGCACCAGGCTTTTCCATCTGTTAATTGGAGGTACCCAAGTCATTCCAGTTTGCCCAGAACTTTATGAAGTCCTGCATCTAAAACACCCTCATTCCAGAAAATTCTTGAAGATAGCCACGCTCATGGTCTTTTCTGTAGGTGCCTGACTGTAAGAATCATTGGGGCATTTGCTAAAAATACAAATTCCGGGGCCCCAATCTGACTTTCTGATGAGAGGATCATGGAACTCACAAATGCTATGCAGTTCCTCAATAGATTCTCATTACCGGGCACCTTTGGGGGGAACTGATTGGCTGACACCTGTGTGGATCTCACCTTGTGCCAAGCCCTGCCGGGGTACCTCACATCTATTAACTCATATTATTCGCACAACAACCCCTTAAGATGGAGGCTGTTATTATCCCCATTTTACAGAGGAGGCAACTGAGGCCCAGCGAGCCTCAGTAACGCTCAGCGTCACTCATTGAGGGTGGGGTCCGCAGGGATTCCAAATTCAGAGTCCACACTGTATCCTGTGGGCTACACCCGTCTCTACCCAGAGCCTCAGTGCTAGGCTGGTGCCTGGCAAATTCTCCATACGAATCAGATATGGTTATTGCTATTGTGTTACCAATCCCAGTACCTCTGGGCATTAAAGGACTTGCCATTCTCTCTCCAAATGTTAGCAAAAGGTTTAGTTGCTAAACATCAAGATGCCCCCTTCGCCCTCACTAGTCACGTGGATCCCGCCTGTGGGCTGAATAAATTCCTTTCTTCTGAGATAGACAGTGGCCAATAGATGGCAGTATAGTTTTGCTTTTGTCCCAAATGAACCTTGCTCTTTAGAAAATGTGCTGGGCAAGACGGGAGAATTTCACAGCACATACCTTAAACTGCTAGGGGAAAGTGACCTTATCTGACTCCAGGTAATTGCTGCAAAAAACATGTCACTGAATTTTCCTTCTTTCAGTCCCCTTAACCTTGAAGTTGATGAGAGGCTACTTAAAATGTGCAATGATCAGGGTAACCCCAATTCTGTGGGATAAAAAAGATTCTTTGCTTCCTGTGTATGTCACACACCTTTCAGTTCCAAGATATTTCTAACCTCAAACATTGATTGAAAGTAGCCCTCAATTAATATTGAATTTAAATTGAATAGCAGAAACTTTAAAAGTTTGTGAACCCATTGTCAAATATTACTTTTTAAACTTGCAAAGAGCTGAATTTAGACATTGTGTGCATGTATATATTCTTGCATCTGTATATAGGAAAGCGTCTGTGCGTGTCGCCTTGGCCAAGACATTGAACCTGCTGTTTGCCTCAGTTTCTGCATCAGCAAAACTGGAATAATAATACTACCGCCTTGTGGATTTGATGCAAGGAGTAAATCAGTTTTACTGCAAATAAAGCTCCTAGGGCCGTATCTCAACACCTGGTAAGCACTCATTCGATGCTACTGCTATTATTTTATCATTGCCAAGGTTGTTTGAGTTATCATTATTTTTATATACAGTAGGTTCAAATTCTGGCAAACTTTCTGGAAAGGATCAGAGAGTGAATAATCGTAGGCTTTGCAGGCCATAGGGTCTGTTTCAACTATTCCACTCTGCCATTAAAGCATGAATGCTATTGTAGACAATATATAAATAAAAGGGCACTCATTGTGGATGCCGAAATTTCACTTTCCTATAATTTTCATTTGTCATGATCTATGATTTTTTTGGTTTTGTTCCAACCATGTATAAATGTGAGATTCATCTTTTGCTTATTGGCCAATTAAGACAAGCAGCAGGCTGCATTTGACCACAACTGTTGTTTGCCAATTCGGGTCTTGAAGATTCGGTACTATATCCATAATGTTCCATTATGGACAGAAGTGACGGGCCATTTGTATGTATACGTGTCATGGATTTTATATAGAAAACAGTGCAAAGCCACAGGTGTCCTGCTTTAGCACTGTTCAGCTTTATTACATGGTGTGACTAGAAAAACATATAAAATCCAAGCTTTGGTTATGTACCAAGTCCCTGCAAGAGAGCAAGCGGCGGGATCCATGAGTCTATTTGTTTGTTTGTTTCTTTGTTTTTGCCTTCCTAATATTTGATTACTCAGTGCATCTATTACCAAGGAGTAAAACCTCATACCAACAGCAAGAGGCCCATAAGAATCCTTAAAGCCAAGTAACACGTTGGCTCCTCTCAGCCAGAAATCAAAAGTCCTCATTTTTATTCTAAGAGGCAATGGAGCAGATGAACCAGTGGCCAGGTCTTTGAAGATGTGCTGCACTGGAGTTGTGTGTGTGAAAAAGGAACTTTGGTATCAAGACAGCAAGTCTGTGGAGTGGCTGGAAGGGTCCTTGTTCAGAAATCAGACATCCTTGGGGTCAGGTTCTCACTAGGCCTTTTTCTGGATGTGTATCCTGGAGTGAACTTGGAAGGCTCCATTCCCTCCTTTTTCTGGAGAACTGATACTGGTGGCTGGGAGCACAGGCAGATGTGTCTGAATCTTGCCCCTACCCTCATTAACTAGGTGATCTTCAGAAAATCAGTTTAACTGTGAGCTTCAGCCTCCTTGTCTCAAGAATGAAATCATGACTCCTTTCTCTCACAGGGGTGCTGTAGGGCTGAATGAGACAATCCAGGGGAAGTTCTTGGAAAACAGAGCTTGGATTTGAGGACTTGCTAAGTAATTGTTTACTCTTATCGCTGTTATTGTAACAAGATTTATGAAAAGTTTAGTAATGATGCGGCCATATGCCTAGGTCAGTGCCTGATAATGAGAGACAGTTCTTAATGGTTATTCCTCCATGCAACTAATAAACAATAGTTGAGTTCCTAATAAGTGCAAACACACTGCTAAGAACAGACACACCACCTGGTCAACATAGGTAGACCTCATTTCTACAAAAAAAAACAAACTTCAGCCAGGCATGCCTGTGGTCCCAGCTACTTGGGAGACTGAGGTAGGAGAATTGCTGGAGCCCAGGAGTTCGAGGCTGCTGTGAGCTATGATTGCACCACTGCACTCCAGCCTGGGCAACAGAGGAAGAGCCCATCTCAAAAATAAAAATAAAATAGGAGATGCAAAGTTGGATAAAGGCAGGTACTGCCCTCGACCTCATGGTGCTTCTGATTTACTGGGGAGGGAAGACAAATATTTTGCTTTGCCCTCCACCTCTAGGAAAATGACCATGCTAATGGTCATTCTGGAACCATCCTACCCAATGCTGCCACTCTCTGCCCTCTGTCATACTTCCCCCATCTTGTGTTATATTATTAATTTGCTTGTATTCATAACTTAGAACCCATGTGTTTTTGTTTAATAAGCTCATACATTTTGCTTACCATGAGCCAGACATTGTTCTAACTACTTTATAAGCGTTACTTCATTGAGTCCTTGTAGCTGTCTTATGAAGCACAGAGAGACTAATTACTTCTCCCAAGAGCACACAGCTATGAGGAGCAGAGAAAAGATCCAACCCTAGACAGTCTTACTCTAGACTTTGTGCCATAACTACTGCACCATGCTGCCTTGAACTAAGTTTGTAGATTTATGGTCCATTTGTTTTTTTGGCTGTCTGCTACCAGAGTTCAGATCTATGAAGTCAGAACGTCTCATCTGCTTAAGTTAAAACTGTAACTCTCATGCCTGGCATAGCATTAGGTGCAGAGTTGTGTTCAACATATATAGTCATGTGCTGTGTCATGGTGTTTTAGCCAACAATGAACTACATGTACAACAATGCTCCCATAAGGTCACAATACTGTATTTTTACTGTGCCTTTTCTATATTTAGATATGCAAATACCATTATATTCCCATTGCCTGCAGTGCTCAGTACCATAACATGTTGTGCAGGTGTGTAGCCTAGGAGCAATCAGCTATACCATACAGCCTAGGTGTGTAGTAGGCTATACCATCTAGCTTTGTGTAACTATACTCTGTGAGGTTTGTGCAATGATGAAATCACCTAAGGACTTCAGAGGAAAAGTGTTGTTAAGCGACACATGACCATATTTGTTAAATCAGTGAATGAATGAATGAAAATATAGCCAAATAAGTATATAATTAGAAGCAGTGCTAAGTGCTATTTTTTTTTAAAGAGTCAGTACTATGAGAGATTTTAACAGGGGAATTAATTTTAGAAAGCTAAAAATTATAAGTATTATTTCAATAACCCTCATTCTAAAGTCTCCTGTGACTCTAGCTAAGAGGGAAGAGAGTATAATCTACACTGACATCACTTTCCATTATAAAAAATATTTTTTGCCAGCAATGAAATGCCATTGAAAATTCCAGCTGTGTTTGACTTTCTCTCTGTTGAATATATGAGTCCAAAATCTCCTCTTTATTCTCCAAAACAAATAGAAGCCATTTGCTTTAACCTCAGCTTGTGATAATACACTCGTGGGTAACTAGTCAGGTCTCTACACCTTAGCCTCCAGGGAGAAGTAAGACTGGTTTGCTTTTGGTTTTGATTTTTTTCTCTCTTTTTTCCCCTATTGCAGGAACAATGGGTAACCAAATGAGTGTTCCACAAAAACCTGAAGACCAAGAGAGTGAACCGGAAGCAGAGACTTACAAGGTATTGCACTAACAGTCATGGGAACATTGGTACTAGTAGGAGGAGTGACAGAGGACAGAGGAATGAACTGCCTGCCCTGGGTTCATCCCCTAGAGATGACTAGTGATAAGTGGCTGTTCTCATGGGTTGTCAGATGTGCTGAGCCCACCTAAGACAGAAGAATCTAAGAGGTAGGAACCTGTGTCTTTAAGGGGCTTCAAAGCTGATTCCTACAAAACCAGTTTAGTCCCTGCTCCCAGATGAGTTCAGACCAGTGATTTTCAACTGTGGGTTATTTTTGCCCAACTATACTGCTGGGGACACGTGGCACTATTTGGAGGTATTTTTGATTATCACAACTCAGAGAGGGGGTGTTACTGACATCTCGTGGGTAGAGGCCAGGGATGCTGCTAAACATCTTATAGTGCACAAGACAACCCCCACAACAAAGAATGATCTAGCCCCAAACGTCCTTAGTGTTGAGGATGAGAAACCCAGATTTAGATCAGCGGCTGGCAATCTTAGCTGCACGTTAGAACGACCTGGGAAACTTTTAAACCTTGTGATACCTGGGAAGTACACCAGACCAATGAAATCAGAAACTGTGTGGGAATGAGGGCAGGTGTCAGAATACCCAGAGCCTCTCAGCTGCTGGAGTGTACAACTGAGGGGAAAAACTACTAATTTCAGAAGACCTCTTCTAGAACATTGCTCTCAAGGGCTGAGACCAAGGAGATCCACAGTGTTCTTTTCAGATCGTCTACAACTGGAGAGATGGAAGCCTAAATTTCTACCACTGGTGCTTTTTGTATCAATTCAGTTTGACTTGCAGCTTTGCTAAACATGGAAAGCCCTATAGGAGATAGACAGTACGCATGAACTAATATTGATCATTTGCCAGAGGGAATTCTTGCTCAGAATAAGACTAGATTTGAATATACGACCTGAGGACTCAAGGGCCTACAGAGTGGGCCCTTGTGTGTTAGAGTTAGAGTTATGTGGAATGCTTTGGAAACCCCTGCTGCCTGGCCTCATCTGAGACTAACTAAAATTCCCTGGGTGTTCCCAGGTATCAGTAGCTTTTCAAGTTCCCCACATGATTCTGGGTTCAGGTACAGTCTGGGAACTTCAGGCCTCCAGAAGCCAAGCCATGAGAAAAGTAAAAGGAGGGGAGTATGGAGTAGGAAAAAAACAAAGAACTTCCTGTAACAGTAGTGTACTAGCAGGGCGGGCCGGCCTGAAGGTTGCTGGCTCCAGCCAACACAAGGGTCAGTAGTGTTCCCAGACTCTTGTTTTTTTGAATAATAGTTAGAAAAAATGTTAATGAAATCTCCTGATTTTTAAAGATTGGCAACTGATTCCAAAATACTTGAAACACTCCATTGACCAAATAAATCAAATTTGCACACCAAGTCCGGCCCTGGGGACATCAGTTGTGACGTCTAGGCCAAACGGTTTGATGTTTAGATTTTATGACTTCTTGGTAAGGTTAACACAGCCTTATTTTAAATAACTAAAAGCATTACAAAAAATATACGGAAAGGAAAATCTGTATTTCCCCAGAAGTTTCCCATGTTTGGGAGCTGGTTTTAAATCTTCCAACTTGAATTTTTTCTCTCTGCACTTATTAATATATATTCTTACTCTTAATAGTATTAGCAAAACAAGATTCCATAGGCAAAGAACTTAGTATATAATCAATATTCAATTAATGTTAATTGTAAGTGGTACAATTTAGAGAGTATCTTCTTGCTAAAATGACATTATAGAACATATCTTCTTTAGCAACTATTTTTTCCTTGTGTATATAGATATAGATAATCCTATAAAATATTTGTAATGAATTTAAAAAATAGAAAACAATCAGGGCAGTGGCCTAAAATTAGAAAGAAGAAGCAGCAATGAAGGTGAAGGAAAGGAATATGGAGCAGAAAAAAGCAACAAAGAACTTCCTGGATTTGATAAGAATATTGGCCAAAGGCCTGGCTGGCAACTGTGTCTGTGCATGCCCGACAATACAGTGAGGTTAACCTCACAGGTTTTGGGACCAGCATGTGAAGGTCTTGCTCTCCCTACAACTGGACAAGTGCCCATTTGAGCCTGGGATTCCCTCTGTTACAGGCCGGGGCTGCACTTGGGTATGGGGTCACTGAGCTGAGCCACAGACCATGGAGCTCTCTTAGGATAACAGGGATCCGGTCCCTGGAGTGGGCTATTTTGTTTCTCTGAGGTGAGGTAGAAACCTGGACAATTTCTAGAAACACGGCCCTTAAATGAAGTTTCGCTCTTGTGAGGCACCCTGGGTAACCTTGACGTGTTTCCTTGAGTTCTTCCGATTTTCTCCAAGGCCTTCCCTCACACACCCATGTTCTGCTCCAGGTGGCCTTGGACTGTGAGTGTGCCCCGAACGGCTTCCCGGTGGTGGTGTCAACCCACACGGTTCAACACTTCGATGAAGGTCAGTGCTGTGCTCTTGTCTGCATGTGATGCTTATGGTGGGAAAAGATGGAAGGGTTGAAGCCACAGCCCATTTTGGAAACACTTGCATCCAGTCCTGGGGTTGCCTTGGCAAAGTACCACAAACTGGGTGCCTTAAACAAAAGAAATGTGGTCTCACACTGCTGGAGGCCAGAAGTCCAAAATCAAGGTGTCGATAGACTTGGTTCCATGAGGGTCACGAGGGAGAATCTGTTCCTGGTTCTCTTCTCGGCCTGTAGGTGACCATCTTCTCCCCGTAGCTTCACACTCTCTTCCATCCATGCATGTCTGTGTCTGTGTCCAGACTCTTTCTTTTTGTAAAGAAACAGTCATATTGAAGGAGGGTCTATCCTTGTGACTTTATTTTATCTCAATCATCTGCAAACACCCTATTTCCAAATAAGTTCCATTCACATGGGGTTAGGACTTCAACATTTTTGAGAGAGTGATTATGATTCAACCCATGATAAGAGCTGATATCCTCTGTCTATGTACGGCAGCCGGGAGAGATTAAGGAGTTACAGCAGGTGGGAAGAAAGCAATAGAGTGAAAACACAAGAAGCTTGGCTTTGGGAGTCAGATTAGGTTAGAATCCCCACCACTCTCTGGCTGTGTGGCATGGAGCAAGGCATTCAACTTTTTAAGCCTTAGTTTTCTCACCTCTAAAGTGAGGATAAGGATCCCTACCTCAGAATTGCTGAGGGGATTAAAGGAGATTATTCATGAAGCATTTATCCTAGTACCCAGCACTCAGGAATTCCTCAGAAACTTGTAAAGTATAAAAGACAACAGAATTTCACTTATAACATGGCAGTGTTAAAACTGAACAATATACTGGTCTACTTGACTATATCCTGGAGTATAAGACTATAAATTCTAGGCCAGATGCGGTGGCTCACATATGTAATCCCAGAACTTTGGGAGGCCAAGTTGAGAGGCTTGCATGAGGCCAGGAGTTCAAGACCAGCCTGGACAACATAGTGAGAACTCATCTCTACCAAAAAAAATTAGGGCAACCCCTTTGGGTCTTCTTCTGCTCTGGGAGCTTTTCTGTTTTCTCAATAAATCCTGTTTTAAAAAAAAAAAAAAAAAATAGCTGGGCTTGGTAGCGCTTGCCTGTAGTCCCAGCTACTTGGGAGGCTGAAGTGAGAGGATCGTTTGAGCCCAGGAGGTTCACACTGCAGTGAGCCAAAATCATGGCACTGTACTCTAGCCTGACCCAGAATGAGAGCCCTACTTCAAAAAACAAAAAGAAGACTATAAATGCAATGTCTCAAAAGTGGTCATATTCTACAAAGTGAAGAATACATATAAATTATATATGAAGAGGTAGTATAGCCTAGTGGTTGAGGGTAAGAACTCTGCAGTCAGATTGCTAGCTTTGCCACCTACCAGCTGTGTGACCTTGAGCAAGTTACTTAACCTCCCTGTCTCCCGGGTCTCTCATCTGTAAAGTGGGAATAATAACAGCACCTGTAACATCAGCATTAAATATAATAAATGCACACATTAACTGGAACATAATAATGCTCTGTATTTATTAGCTATCACTGTTATATTTGGTTGTAGTTGTTGTCATTTACATGTAAGATTCTAGGTTTCAGTTTCCTTTCCTGAATAATGAGGAGATGAATCATAGCACTGGGTTCAAAGGTTTTAGAATTTCCTGGAGAGCTTATTCAAAACTTGCATGCCCTGGTCCCACCCCATAGCTGCTATTCAGAACACTCTAAGGTTGGGAATTCCAAATTTAAAGTGTTAGGAGCTCTCTAGAAGATTCTGATACACAGCCAGGATTGGCAATCACCAGACAAGATGGTGTCCCAAGTTGCTTCCTGGCTTTAAATCCTGTGAGTCAAACTTGGACTTTGATGTACACACAATGGATTGTATTTACAGCAGCAGACTTTGATGAGAACAGTGTGAAAGTTGGCCGTTGGGATACATAGGCTTTGAAATGAGAATCATACCATTTTTATAGCTAGGAAACTAGATGTTTGTTCTTGAGAAATTTCAAATGATGCTCTCTCATTTGGTAAGGTTGACATCAGCTTTCACTGAGTTTCTGTTTAATATAACAGATCTTCAAGTAGACATTGAGAATATAATATGCCCTGCAGGAACAGTTATGTTTCTTTATCATCATTTTGTTATTATTATTGTTATCATCATCATCATCATCTCCTTTCTTTAAAAGACTTTTTAAAGAGTACTTTTAAGGCCTGGGCGTGGTGACTCATGCCTATAATCCCAGCACTTTGGGAGGCTGAGGTGGGAAGATTGCTTGAGCTCAGGAGTTCAGGACCAACCTGGGCAACATAAAAATCAAAAAATTAACCAGGTGTGGTGGTACATGCTACTCTAGTCTTAGCTACTCTGGAAGCTGAGGCAGAAGGATCACCTGAGCCCAGGGAGGTTGAAGCTGCAGTGAGTCATAATCATGCCACTGCACTCCAACCTGGCCTACAGAGTGAGCCCCTGATTTCAAAAAAGTAAAATAAAATAAAAGAAATATAAACAGCAAAATTGAGAAGTACAGAGATTTCTTATATATCCCTTCCCTACATATCCACAACTGCCCCCATTATCAACATCCCTGGCCAGAGTGGTACATTTATTGCAATCAATGAACCTACATTGATACATCATTGTCACCCAGAGTCCATAGTTAACATTAGGGCTCACTCTTGGTGCTATACATTCTATGGGTTTGGACAAATATATAATGAATGAAGTCACAATTGTAGTATCATACAGAGTAACTTCACTGCCTAAAATTCCTTTGATCTCACTACTCCTTCCTCCCTAAGGATTGCCTTACCCCTTGCAGTCATCTGTCTTTTCATCGTCTTCATAGTTTTGCTTTTTTTTTTTTTTTTAGTTTGTCATATCATTAGAATCATGTACTGCATAGAGTATTGATGAAAGCTGTTAAACTCTGGAAAATATTTTAAAAGCTTTATTCTGAGCCAAATGTGAGTGACCTAGGCCCGTGGCATAGTCCCGAGAGGTCCTGAAAATACATGCCCAACATATGAATTATAACTTAGCTTTGTACATTTTTTTAAGGAGACAGAAATTACAAGCAAAATGTAAAGCAATACATGTGAGATTTTCATTGCTTCAGTCCAGGAGGATGGGACATTTTCAAGTGGAGAAGGGGCTTGCAAGACGTAAGTGGATTCAAAGATTTTCTGACTGGCAGTTGGTAGAAAGAGTTAAGCTCTGTCTAAATAATTTTGAGATCAGTAAAGGAAATGCTGAGTTGAGGAAGAGGGGTAAGGAAGCCAAGGCTCTTGATATGTAGATAAAGCCCTGTATGTGGTGGCCCTTAGACAGAATAGATGGCAAATGTGTGTTCTTCAGACTTTAAAGGTGTCAGTCTCTCAGTTAATCCCTCCCAGACCTGAGAAAACCTAGAAGGGGAAAGATCTGGCTATGTGAATGGAGGTTCTCTATAGATGTAAATACTTCCTCACAAAAGATAGCTTTGCAGGGCTATTTCAAAATATGTTAAATATATTAGAGGGTCAAATATTTTTACTTCCCATAAGGCTTGCTATCCATTCCATGATGCTATACCAGAGTCAAGCTGAAATTTAGTATCTTATTGCTACAGAGTCTGTTTTGTCAGTCTTATATCTCTATTCTAATGTAAATGCTGATCAAATGTGCCTAAAACTTCTTGAGAGATCAAGTATAATGAGGTATGTTTAACTTCCTTTTCCATCATGGCCTGGGATTTCGTTTTTTCAGGTTTTCCTTGGTACAGAGGGCATCTATTCAGTCAGTCAGGGCTTAAATTTTATTTTTAGTTTATGGTAGCCTTTTCAGGTTGACCTCTTTCACTCTGTAATATGTATTTAAGTTTCCACCATGTCTTTTCATGGTTTGAGAGCTCATTTCTTTTTATCACGAAATATTCTATTTCTGGAAGTACCACAGTTAATTTACTTATTGATCTACTGAAAGACAACTTGGTTGCTTCCAAGTTTTGGCAATTATGAATAAAGGTGCTGTAAACATCTATGTGCAGGTTTTTGTGTGGACAAAAGTTTTCAAATCCTTTGGGCAAATACCAAAAAGTACAATTGCTGAATCATATGGTAGGAATATGCTTAGTTTTATTAGAAGTTGCCAAACTGTCTTCCAAAGTGGCTGCACCATTTTGCATTCCCACCATCAGTGAATGAGAGTTTCTATTGCTTTATGACCTTATCAGCACTTGGTGTTGTTGGTGTTCTGAATCTTGGCCCTTCTAATAGGTGTGCAGTGGTATCTCATTGTTGCTTTATTTTGCATTTCCCTGATGTCATAGGATATGGAACACCTTTTCATATGCTTATTTGCCCTCTGTATATCTTCTTTGATAAGATGCTAATTAAAGTCTTTGGCTCATTTTTTGGTCCCCAGCTTTATTGAGGTATAACTGACAAATAAGAATTGGCATGTAAGCAAGGTATATGATGTGATGATTTGATACATGTTACATTGTGTAATGATGACCACGTCAAATGAATCAATATATGCATCACCATACATAGCTACCCTTTAGGTGTTTGTGTGTAAGGGGACACTTAAGATCTACTCTCTTGCAAATTTCAAGTAAGCAGTACAATATTATTAACTATATTCACCATGAAACTTATTCATCTTATAACTGAAAATTTGTATCCTTTGACCAACACCTTCCCATTTTCCCCACACTCCAGCCCCTGATAACCACCATTCTACTCTCTGCTTTTATAAGTTCTACTTTTTTAGATTACACATATAAGTGAGATCATACAGCATTTTTTTTTCTGTGTCTAGCTTATTTCACTTAGCATAAAGTCCTCCAGGTTCATCCATGTTGTTGCAAATGACAGGATTTCCTTCTTTTTTATTGCTGAACAAATATTTCATTGTGTGTGTGAATATATGTGCATGCATATGTAAACATATATACATTTACATATATATAACATTCTTTATTCATTT